TGGAGTGCAGTCCTGTGCCCCCGCCATGGGGGCAGAGCAAGCTGAGGGTGTTCATCGTGCATCCCAGCTCCACCAGGCATGCTGCCTGGTGTTAAACCCTTCCAGCGGCCTTATCATGATGATGATAATTATTATAATAACAGTGTATTTTCTTGCCGTAAGCTGGTTCCCCTCCAATAAGATGCAGATCCCTGGAGAAGGTAAACCAATGTGTCTGTTTCTATCCTCATCTATATATGCAGTGCCAGGGCCCCTGCAAGACAGAGTGCTTGTCCTGAACAGAGCACTGGGTTTGGGACTGATTTCTGATTAGGGAGAAGGCGTGTCCTGGCTGTGCCCAGGAAATGGTGGCATCGCAGTAGCAAGGCAGAGTGGGAGCGGAGATGGGCACGCTTGGGGCAGCACCCTGCGGATGGGTGCTGTGGAGGAGCATTGGGGCGAGCTGGAGGGAAAAGGGCTCGTTGCCAATCACATTGCACCATCGTGATGGGAACCAAGTTGTTTTGGCCAGGAGACCCAGAGCTGTGGCTGCCCACAGCCCCACTGCTGCGCTGGCAGGGGCAGGGACAAGGGTACCTGTGGGGTGCCATGGGAAGAAAAGCACTCACGGGAATCCTGCTTGCAGGCTTCTGGACGCAGGGGACTCCACAATGTACCTATCCCTGCTCCATTCCCACACGCAGTGCCATGCTGTGGAAACCATCCACCCCACGCTGAGAATGCCAGTTGGTGCAGAGCTCTGTCCCTGCCATCAGCAAGGTCATGGGGCCTTTCCTCATGGTTGGGCCACCCTCCCTCCCTCCCTCCCCTATTAGCTGGAGGCTTTAATTTCTAAAGGCACTCACCATACACGAAGTGCTGTTCCCAGCCGTGCTGGGGGCTGTGGCCACACAGTGGGTTCCTGTGCTCAGCGTGGGACACTCCTGCTCTCGTCCAGACCTGCTACTGGTGAGGCTGATTTTCTTCCCATTATTTAACCCTGGGATGGTGCCCCAGGGGGTTGGGAGGTTGTCAGTCGGTGGCTTTGTAGGGCTGCATCATCTGGGCTGTGCTGGTGGGCTACAGGCAAGGGCTATCCCCTTGCACAAAGCCATCTGCCCAGCAGCAGTCCAGCCTGGAGCAGTATGTCCAGGCAGGTGCCCCTCCATGGGGCTGCTGGCACCTCTCCCCATTAGGGTGCTGTGCAGTGGAGCCCTCGGTGCAGGGACTGACGTGGAACTCCCTAGTGTTGGGTGCCCTGGGACTTCCTGGAGGCTTTGCAGTGGTGTTTTCTCCTTTCAGACAGTTGTGGTGTGTTGGATGGCTCCCAGGGAACGAAGTGCCATGTGTGCAGAGAGCAGCCAGGTGGCACAGCCTGCTTGAGTTTTGAATGGAAAACCCAGCTAGAAGAGCAAATCCGGCTTTGGAGGGGAGTTTATGACCAGCTCCAGTATTCCTGGTGGCATTGCAATGCTCATGGCATTGCCTGGCCTTTCCACGTTGCTCACCTGGGCTGACCCACATTTGAAAGTGGATAAATGTGGAGGAGGCTTTGCCGAGACTGTGGATGGAGCAGGGTCTGTGCCTGCTGCATTGCTAGCGCAGCCCCGTTCCATCCCGAGTGTCTCTGGACACATTGCAGAGTGTGGGCAGCCAGTGGAGGGGGTGTAGGGCTGGTGCTGGCCCATTCAGAGCAGCACTAGCCCAAAGACTTGGCCGTGGGGAAGGGGTGGAAGTGGAGGCAGTGAAGGCAAACACCTGAGGTCCAGATCCTGCCTGAGCACAGACAACCCTCTTGCACTAGGACCCACCCCATCTATACACAGGGGAACCTGTATGTCACCTTCTGTGTGGAGCCAGCTACTGGGGCTTCTGCTTGCTCTTTTCTGCTTTTCTAAGCTGGGTTTGTGCCTGAGGGTGTTTTTGGAGATGCCAGTGCTGGGGGTACAAAGTCCTTGGTCAGCAGCATCCAGTGTCACACCTCTGCTGACAGGCAGCACCATGGTGAAGCCTGTCCCTGCAAGCTCTGGGCTGAGCAGCCCACTGGCCAGCACCTGGTTCCCAGGAAAGGGGAAGAATTTGAGGGTAAAGGCTCCATGTTTGGTTTTCTCCATCATTGCAATACAAACTTCAGGCTGTCTGTCTGCTCCCCCGCTGCTTGGAGCATCCCTCTGCCTCCTAGCACAGCTGAGAAACATCACCCCTCATCCTGGCTGTGCAGGGAGAGCTCCCTCTGTCCCACCTGTATCTGGCTGCAGCCTGAACCCAGCCAAAATGCTGAATTTTCTGTCTCCAAGTGATGCTGGAAGATGGGATGGGAATTGGGATGTTCTTGTCCTGAATTCAGTGCTTAAAAGATGACCAGCATGGATAGACCAGGTTGGTCTCCCAGTTTGCCTAGGACTGTGCCCTGGAGGTTGGTCTGACCTTAACTGGAAGAACTGGACCTCTAGGCACTGCCTGCCCTGTGCTGCTCCCACCTCCCAGCAGAGAGGCTCACAGCAGCCCGTGGACAAGCTGAAGCACCAAGTCCCCATGGTAGATGTTTGGAGTGAAGCTGATTTGGGTTCTGTGGCTATGAGCAGGGAGAGCCAGGGGCCTTCAGGTTGTGGGGTGCAGGAGCTGGAAGCAGAACCTGCCCTGACACCTCCATTGCAGGGCTGCTGTTGCAGGAGATGACCATGGCAGGGTTGCATGAGCTGCGCTTCACTGAGGAGAAGCCACTGCTGCGGGGCCAGGACGCTGAGCTGGTGAGTCTGGTGCAGATGCTGAAGTGGGAGCTTGGGGAGGTGTGTGAATACTGGTATGGGATGCACATGTGTGCACATGTGGCATTCAGTGTACGTATGTGCAGATGTGTGCTGATATTGCATGTGCATGGGTGAGCACAGGTGCTGGTTCGGTGTGATCATAGAATCCCAGAATCCCAGACTGGTTTGGGTTGGAAAGGACCTTAAAGCTCATCCAGTT